AAGAAAGAAAGAGAGAGAAGACAGAAGACATCTTGTGTCTCGTATCGAATGACGCAGCATCCAGCATTGGTTCAGCAAAGCCAAGAGCAACAGATAAATAGAAAGAGAGAGAGAGAGAGAGAGAAAAAGAAAAAGAGGAAGAGAAAGAGAGAAAGAGAGAAATAGAGAAAGAAAGAACGAGAAAGAAAAAAAGAAAGAGAGAGAGAGAGAGAGAGAGAGAGAGGGAGGGAGGGAGAGAGAGAAGGACGAGACCCCGTGCTGTCGCTTCTTGATGAGCACGACGAGAGACATCGTCCGTCGATTCGAGATATCGATATAGCCGACCTCAATGACCCTCTGGATATCACGTTGGTCGCGGCGTGGCCTCTTACACGAAGCGGAACGCGATATACAAGCTGCAGGTTCTGATTGCTCTCCAGAGATGTGACGGATACTACCCCACCTCCTTTCTCTCTCTCTCTCTCTCTCTCTCTTTCTCTCTTTCTCTCTCTCTTACACTCGAGACACAGGTCTACGTCGAATTAGAGAAAAGGAGAAGAGGTGTCCGACGTTGTTCGCTTACAAATGTCGAATCGATTAATGCTATATGTATAAGCACGATAGGGAGATATCGAAATGTATGTATGTTCATCTCGATCAATATCGAGAATGAGAGATTCGTAAGGATACTTGGAGACCTCCTATTAAGCCAAACTTCATCCCCTTTCCTTTATAATTTCGCTAGAAGTAATTTGACAAAACGATAGATATTTAATATTTTATTATCCTTATTAAATAATATATCGGGATAGTTGGACTATTTCAAATAATTGTACTGATACAATTATTATAAACAATTCGATCGACTTCGTTACAATTATTTATAATTAATAGGAACTATAATATCTCTTTCTCTCTCTCTCTCTCTCTCTCTCTCTCTCTCTCTCTCTCAAGTCGGGTGACTTTAATAGCTGTGATCTTCATAAAAAAAAAAAAAAAGAAAATTAAAAAAAATCTCTAAGGAAATAAAAGCAAGAAAAGAGTACATTAAAATGAATTAATCAATACGATTGGACTCGGACGCGCGTACGATTTGACGCGAACAAAAGTCCGTGAATGCTTACGAGTAAGGGGAACCTCTTGTTCTGTCTTGTTCGTCGCGCATCTCACGAAAAAAATTATGAGAAAAGAAAGGAGATCACGAGAGTACGTGCCATAAATTCGATAATTTACACGTACCTAACTCGGCTCGTAGTATCTCCTTCGAAAAATCTTCGCCATTCTTCGACGACATTGCCGACACGAAATTCCCAAGTTGACGAAGGGGGACAGGTAGCTCTCCTGAGCTAAGAGAGAATAAGACAGAGAAAGAGAGAGAGAGAGAGAAAGAGAGAGAAAACGTTTTCTCGGTCGCGATTAAGGTCCGTGGGCGGGGTGGGATCTACGATCAGGATTAATGACATCATAAACCTAATAAAATATCACCGAAGAGGGCAACAATGCGGGCGAATTCCCCTTCGAATGAATCGGGAGCGAGAACCCTCTCTCTTTCTCGTTTATACACACATTCACGTACACGCACATGAGTGTAGTCTTAGTCAGATACATATATATATATATATACCACACACATTTGCCTCTCCAACTGATGGATGATGCAAATAACTGTGCCCCATCCTGACGCAACCGTCGAACGGTCACGGAGCACTTTTCTCAGCAGGTGGCTACGTTGCTCTCTAACAGTGGCAGTCTCGAAAAGGGAAGAAACGTGAAGAGAGAAAAAGAGAGAGAGAAAGAAAAGAGAAAAAAATGCACCGCTACGCCCACGTAGAAAAGTCGCTCGACCTCTACGATTCTTTTTTTTTTTCCTTTTATTTTTTTTTTTCCTTTTCTCTTGTGTTTGCTCCTCTTTCCTTCCCTTTACTTCCCCACCCACTCTCTTTTCTTTCTCTTTTTGTGCGAGAAGATCGACGCATCTCGCGCGACGAGCCCAATAAAAATGAAAGTCGACCGACGACGAGGGTAGGACGCTCTGACCCCGTCGTCATCTTCTTCTCTTTTTATTTATTTTACTTTTTTTCTCTTCTTCCCCCTTCTTTCTTTTACTCTTTCTCCTTCTCCCTGCACTTCTTCTTCTTTTTCTTCTTCTTGTAACTCTAAACAGTGACCATGATTTTTGGGTCGATCTTTTCACTCGATAAAACTTCTTTTTCGGTGTCTAAAAAAAAAAAAAAGAAACATATATATATATATATATATATTTATATATATCTAGAAGACTACAGCGAGTCGAATCATATCGAACATAGCTTTAAAAATTCTAAGCATCTATGTATGTATGTATATATATATCGGTATGTATCGAGAAACGAAAGTGTACACCGGGTCCCGCCCGTTCGACCGATCACAATACAAAATTAAGATAAAGATCGACAGACTCCTCTCACGCTATCGGAATCACAACCTGGTCGTCTCTTGTCGTTCTCTGAGAAAGAGAAAAAGTGAAAGAGAGGGAGAGAGAGAGAGGGAAAAAGAAAAAAGATATAAATAAACGATAAACACAAGATAAATCGCATTGCGAAACGATCAAACTGCCAGGAAGGATCTCAACGAGATCGTGAAACAAGCTACATTCGATAAACTCAATATGTTAGTGTTCCCTTTAACATCTGCGTTTTCCTGCGGTTCACGAATAATATAATATAATATAATATAATATAATATAAACGAATTTTCACGTTACAGAAAGAAAGAAAGAAAAAAAAGAAGAAAAAGAAAGAGAGAGAGAGAGAGAGAAATCCGAATCCATTCTTGGTGAAATAGGAGATCATTGTTAGATTGCACGTTTGTGCACACAAACGGATAGATCCTTTTTTTTTTCTTCTTTCTCGCCAATTTTTCAAATCTTTCGTTTGCTTTTCTATTATAAAAAGAAGAAGAAGAAGAAGAAAAAAAAAATAGAAAAAAAGATTTTTTTCCACTAGCAATTTTTTAGATACGAAAGATTTTCAATGTTGATATCTTGAAAGAGAAAGAGAGTGCGTAAGTACATGCACGAGTGCTAAGAATTTAAAGATAACCATGGAACGTACGAATTCTCTCTTTGTTTGTTAGATCTTGGAATGTATGTCAGTTGGGGAAAAAAAAAAAAAGAAAAAAAAGGAAAAAAAAGATAAAAAAGAAATAAAAAGGGGAAACAGAGTACGCATTAAGCGTTTCTACTCGCTTAGTTCGACTTTCCCCTCTCGCTCCAAATAATGGGTTAAAATTACAGATCTTATAGTTTACCAAGTCGAACGTTCTACACTCATCATAGTTCTACGCGTAGAAGAAAGAAGAGCGGAATCTTCTTCCTTTTCTTTTTCTTCTTCTTTTATTTTTGTTCTTTTTTTTCATTTTTTTTTCTTTCTTTCTGTTTTTTTTTTTTTTTTTTTTTTATTGGCAGACCCTGTAATTCCGAACGAAATAAATCTTCGGTATAATCTCAGTGTCAGTTCTGAAAATTCTCAAGAGCGAGAAAGGTCCAACTTATGTGATCTATGTGTATATATATATAGAGCTTCGACATAGTCACGTATATATATAATATATACATATATATATATATATATATATATATATATATCTGGTGTACCTATATACATACGTGTGTAAGTGTACGTGGCTCGAGAAGTTACGCCCTCGATGATCGATCGACGTTTCGAATCTTAGCTAAGAAACGAGACTTCCTTTCGTTCCACGGCACTGAATCAGCAAATCCTTTGATATCGCGCACACAAGGCGGCAGCTGCCGCCGTCCAACGATCTTTACATTATTTCGTTCTCTCGATAGGTGCAACGTGGATGCATCTAGCTATCTGTATATATGTATATATATATATATGGGTGTGTGTGTGTGTACATATATATATATATACATATATAATATATATATATATATAAATGTATATAGTTACATACACATGAAATAGGTGCATGCGCCGCTTAGACGTCGGACATGCTCGTAGCTATATAATATCCCGCGACTCTACAGATGCCAGCTCCATCGCATGCCTTTCGCGCTCCGTCGATGTATGTATGTATGTATGTATGTATGTATGTATGTATGTTCCGACAATATTTTCTTTTAAATCTATTTATAAGGATCAATTGCGTTTTATCATCTATACAAAAATTCCGATATACTTTTGTCCGACTCATTTTGTTCGGGCAAATAATCATGTTCCTCAAAATTCCTTGGGAATTCCACGTAAATCATACTTCGTATTAAAGTACCAATCTTGTATCAACGTATCATGTATTATAGTACATTTTATTATAATTGTAACGTATTGAAAAAAAAAGAAGAAAGAAAAAGGAAGAAAGGATAGAGAAAAAAGAGAAGAAGAAAAAGCGCGAAACAAAGAAAATAATCAATCGTTGCATGCAAATCGGGATAAGGGTATAAATAATAAATATAAAATTAACTATACTCGTAAATTTTGGTGTGACATCGGTTCGGCACACACGACATATACATATAATAAATAAAAGAGAAGGGGGAAAAAAGAGATAGAGGGGGTATAAGAGCGCACGCGCGGTCATCGAAGATCATAGTGCCGCGCACTTCTCACGGATTCGAAGTAGTATACGTGGACTGTCGCCCCCGGTACGACCCCGGAACGTACGATTCGTATTGTGCGCGATCGCGGAACGAACGATCGCTACACGATCTCCCGCTGCTAGATCGCCAGATCGGCGATCCCGCCGGTACAGCGATCTATTGATCGCGAACAACGATCCACACACGAGGCCGCGCCGTTATCAGAGACTCGCATCGATATCTTCCTACGTTTCCATCTATGCGGAAGTGATTTCTCTCTCGTCGTTGATAAAACGACGATCTAATTGCCGCTTCGTTTATGCGCTTTTCTTTTACGAGCAGTTGATCTTTTTTTTCTTCTTTTCTTTTTTTTTTTTTTCTTTCCTTTTTCTTTCTTCTTTTTTTTTTAGCTATTCCTCTTTCTAAAATGTATATTACGTCTTTAATATATATGCTCTAGAAATTATGAAAGTGAAGAGAAAAAAAAAAAGAAAAGAAAACGAAAGAATTGAGAAATAAAGGAGAGAAAAATCATGCGAACTCTAATTTGCACGAGAGATTAAATGAGATCCTCTAGATGGATCGTAAAATTCGATCTTCTCAATTCTGGTCTTATTAAAGGGTTTGCGCAACAACGTCCTATTAAACCCCCATGGAAAATAATTAAAATTAACCATTCGTTCTTAGATTCAACATCTCGATTACGTCGGTCAATTTCGATCTCTTGGTACTCACAAATATGCACATGCCAGTGTTATGTGTGTCCGCTTTAGAGTTAACGATAGAGATTCAGACACGTACTTGTGCCGTGGCCGTTAATTGAAATCATCCGCATTTCGCGCTCACCACGTATATCGGCTCCACCCTGAAACTTTCTTTTTTTTTTAGCAATTACTATAAACTATATGTACCAGGTGCGTTAATCGTTATACGATTCTGATTTTCTTTTTTTTCCTTCCTTGTTTCACTATGATATTTATATTTCGGACAAATATCATTTATACGTTTCCCGTCGCGCTCAGTCGGCCATGACTGATAAACACGGAAATCTGGTAATAAAAGTCGCGAAATAAAAAAACGTTTTGAATGAAAAAAAAAAAAAAAAAAAAAAAAAAATAACTTCGATTCTTACACGAATTATTTATACTTATTTATTATTACGATTGAAATATTCTATTTAATATGTATATCGAAAAATAATTCAGAATGCGACGAGAGAAAGAAAGGAAAAAAAAAGAAGAAAGAGGGAGAGAGAGAGAGAGCGAGGGGGGGGGGGGGGGTAGGTAGTCGTTTTAGGGATACCTGTTGACTTAGGTGAGCGTATAATATGAGCGCGTGAAGAAAGGTCCGGACAAAAGGATGTGGGGAGTGGGGAGGAATGGTCGTAATTCGTGCCTATAAGATCCGAACAAGAATTCATCTCCCTCACCCCTCTCTTTCTCTCTCTCTCTCTCTCTCTCTCTCTCTGTCTCCCTTTCTTTCTCTCTCTTTCTCTGTCTCATCTCAACGTTACTATCCTCTCTTCTCTATTTATCCCAGATAAACAAAGGATAGAAGAACGCCCGTCGTGAAAGTTCCCCTGCTCTCTAATTGTCAACGATGTTTTTAAGATTCTCTGAGAAAAAGTTTCAAGAGTATCTTTTGCAAAAATTCGATGGGGAGGGGGAGAAAAAAAAGAAAAAACGAAAAAGGAGAAAAAAAAGAAAGAAAGAAAAAAAAAGAAAAAGAATACAAGGTATATCGGAGAAAATCGGCTTTTCCCTTGACACCGTTCAGCTTTCCCCCTTCCCCTCCTTCTGCCCTCCCCCCTCTCTCTCTCTCTCTCTCTTTTTCTGTCGCTTCTTCTCATAGCTGTAAGCTTAGATAACTTTATTTTCCATCCACGACAAAATCGTTCTACGAGCTGGACACTTTCTTTTCTTTGGTATAAAAGGGAATGACTAAAATACGTGTTGGTAAGAACGGCGGTGCCCTTGGCGTTGTAAGAGAAAGAGAGAGAGAGAGAGAAAAAAAGAAGAAGAAAAAGAAGGAGTAAGCGAAGAAGAAGAAGGAGTACTAGAAGAAGAAGAAGAAGAAGAAGAAGAAGAAGAAAAGGAAGAAAGGAGGGTCGGAAGAGTACGGAAGAGGGTCGTAGACGAGGCTGAGGTTAATGAGTTTGCTACTGCCTGTCACGAATAAAGGTACAGGTACTGCTGGCTGTACTGAAATAGGTAGGTATAGGTACACATACCAAGATTGCTTCTATCTAAGAGTATAACAGTTCTAACGTGGTGTATACGCGTGGTTTCCACGATGCATCCCCATTGGTTGGACCGATCTTCGGCACGAATTACCAGCTGGAAGGGGGCAAAGAGCAAACCACTCGCCGGCAAGATGGCGCCTGTTCTAAATTCAAAACAAGACGCTGCTTAGCATATACATATCCCGTGCTCTTGGCCGACGCGGGCGCGCGAGCGCGCGCGCTCACGCTATGACATTCGCAATTCAAATCGTACATTTCTATTACCATTTTAATTCAAGGACACTCGGTCGTCGCGAAGCATTGGCCTCCGGTAGTTGACTACCGATCGCCGAGTTCTTCTTTTATCCCTTCGTTTCGAGTTTTCACAATGAAATCGATTAAAAAGCAAAAACGATAAAAAGATAACTGATGTAATCCGTCAATGTTTATCGACGATGAGAAATAACACGAGTGTTTAATCGATATTTGTTTGTAGAAAATGTTAAAAAAAAAAAAAAAGAAAAAAAAGAAAACAAAAGAAAAAAGAGAAAAGTCTTTAAGCAACGACATCGAATTAAATTACAGGTACCACCACAGAAACCCATCGAAGGTAAGGGTTTAAGGAATTGGATGGTATCCATCGAACATCTGGCGAAACCCTTTTAGATGCGGTTCCCGGATTTGTTCGCTAGAAAACTGACTCGTTCCCGCGAATTTATGTGCGACGTCAGATTAAGGGACAACCCTCCTACCTTTCTATCCTATTCGAGGGCAAACCCGCCATTGTATGTCACTTCCGTTTACTCGGTTACGCATAACAAGATCCTCGGGATTTCATGGTTACCATACGAAAAAAAAGAGAATAAGATGAGCGTGTCCGTGTCCGTATCTTTTTCTATGTGTGCGCGTGAAAGAGAGACACGATTCTAAGCACGTTTTTACCATACGTCGTTAATGACACGTAGTTGTTGTCGATGGCCGACAATGTTCACGACAGATGTTCACGCTTCGACTTTCATATTCTCCCTTTATAGTTTGGATACTATAAAAAGATTTCGATCGTTTTATTTTCTAAGATGAAATGCCCGATTTTAATCTTAGAAAATCTTTTGGACGAATTCATTCAATATGTGGATCGTTTAAACAATATCAAGATGACCTAAATCGGATTTTGTTAAAAGTAAATGGAACAAAAAAAAATAAATAAATAAATAAAAAATATGCAACGGCATGTTCGATTGAAAATTAGAATAAAGATTTATTGGCCAATAAAAGCCAATGAGGAATAAATAAATTATATCACCTTCGATTAAACGTATTTACGGATAATATTTTCAAGAACACGTAAATGCAGCATTTGTCCTCATTGCAAGTGCAATTAACGTTCTTTCGATCACCCGTTAGAGTACCGACGTAAAGAGAGCGTGACTGACCAGACGGCCTTAAAGCTGCCTTCTATGATCGTTTTCTTTTTCTTTCTGGCGTTCTTAACTTCGTTTTCTTTTTCTTTTTTTCGTACGTTTTCCTTCTTATTTCAGGAAAAAACGAATAACTCGCGACATTGTCGGCGAGCTCGTAATGTCTAAATCGTACTAATCTCGGTGGTACAATAAATCCGATTGAGATCGTTTCTAGAGAAAAAAAAAAAAAAAAGGAACTTGTGTTGGAAAAAAAAAATGACAAGAAAGGTACTAGGATATTTTTTTGTTTTTATTTTCTTGTTTTCTTTCCTTATTTTTATCCTCACTCTCTCCTCCCGCATCATACCTTAGCCTATCCCACCCCACCTCATCCCACTCCACCTTTGCCTTGGAACATGCTCGATGTGATTAATCATGCCGATTACTGACCAATCGTTCGCAATCGTATGCAATGACTCCTGAGGCTCTCCTCTAACAGCCTAGCCTCTTCTCTTATTAATGACATTCCGGTCGGCATCGGTAGTCACCCTGACGTCGATTCATAACTAGAAATTAACAAGGTCATGATGAATAGCTCGTTCGACTAGTAGATTCGACGAGAGGTAGAACTTTATAACTGTTGAGCTTTAAACGTGTTTAGGTAGATAGGTAGGTAGGTATATAGTTAGGTAGATAGGTAGGTAGGTAGGTAGGTAGGTAGTTAAGTAGATAGTTAGGTAGGTAGATGGGTAGGGTACGTGTAACGAGGGTGGAAGGGAACTGAAAAGAGGTAAGCTAATTGAAAACTGATAATTTCTCCAGTGATTTCTTAGACAAGGGATTATATATATATATATATATAAATTCGACAAAAGAACGAAATGTCATGAATTTCATTTTAAAAGTTTCATTTTCCCATGGGATGAGATAAAATTTGAAAGGAATATAAAAGAAAGGAAAAAGGAAAACAAAATAGAAAAGGATTGTCTCTTGAGAGTACAGATATAAGAGAAGAAAGACCAGGAGGAAGAAGATGAACAAGGAGAGGAAGAAAAAGAAAAAGAAGAAGAAGAAGAAGACGGAGTAGAAGAAAACGTCACTTGGGTTTATCGAAGGAAACTAAAACGTCCATTTTCGTTGTGGCTTCGACAATGACCGACTCGGTTGACTGGTTCGAAGCCGACAATGGAGTCAAAATCATCGCTTGAAAAAGAAGGGTCCTTTACCAACTAAGTCGAGTTCCAGATCGCAAGATAAATTTCGCATTTGTAAAAGAGAAAAAGAAAGAGAGAGAGAGAGAGAGAGAAAGAGAAAGAGGGGGAGGGAGAGATCGTGCTCGAAGAAAAAGTAGGAGGATTCGAGCGAATCGTATGAACGATGTATTTCTTTGCAAAGTTTCCAAAGAAAGGGAACTACAATGAATCGCGGTGATGCTCGCTTTATTCTCATAATTGTCACGTCCATCCGCGACAATACATGGTAGCTACTCGACCTGAACACCCAAAACGATTTCTTCGACGATAAACGACGAACGAATAGACACGTGACATTTCCTTCGAGTGACCACTCGACGAGAAAAAGATCGATATCTTATCGTCGAATTCTCCTACAAATACAATAATACAATGAATTATTTTCTATTATGTATACTATTCTATCGTACTTCTTATGGAAAATATTCTATAATTCTATAGTACTATATATATATATATATATATATATATATATAGGTAGATATAATATAGAACAATATATAGGTAGATATATATATATATATAGATAGATAGATATATATATATATATATATATATAGGTAGATATATATAGAACAATAAATACACTCTTCTCTCGAAAAACATTTTCTCATCAAAAACGAGTCACTGCGTGGTCTTTCCATAGAAGGAGCTCTGCTTATAGAAGAAAGAAGGAGAGAATGGCCGAGAGAAAGAAAAGAGCTTACACGTCCTCCCGTAAGTGGTGCAACGATCCGTTTATGCACCTGAACGACACGACGATCCTCGTAGGACCGCGATCTTTACGAGCGCGATACGTTCGCGAGGAAAATATTATTCCGAAGTCGGGATAGTGGTGGTCTTGTCTTTCTCTCTCTCTCTCTCTCTCTCTCCCTTTCTCTCTCCCTTTCTCTCTCTTTTTCTTTTTTTCTCTTTTTCTCTTTCTTTCTTTCGAAGAAGGGAGCGAAGGAACGAGCAGGTATACTATATCCACGGGTGCAGACACGCTCAGTGTTACGATAATATTTTCTCTCGAAATAGAGGCTACTTACGATGCACTCGCCTCCTCGTGTGTGGTCCGCGAACTGGACACGAGACTCTCCGATATGCGGCAGTGAGGGAGAAAGAAAGAGAAAGGAAAGAGAGAGAGAGAGAGAGAGAGAGACAGAGAAAAAGAGAGAAAGAAGACGGAGAAGAGATAACAGGAATACACTTCTAGAGATCGTGAATCCACCCGTAGAGCACGATCGGTGAATTTCTCATTGGTTTGTATCGAGAGGAGAATATTCGCACGATGAAAACGGCATTTAAAGATAAATTCGATGCTTTTCATTTTAGTGCCGCGAATTATATCGATAAATTCTTCTTGAAAGGGTCAGAGATTAAAAGGGATTGGTACGGGAAGAGACGGGGGTGGAATAGGTTGGGGTAAGATGGAATGAGGTACTTTTTCTTCTTTCTTTCTCTCCTTTTTCTTTTCTTTTTCTTTCTCTTTTTTTTTCCTTTCTTTTTTTCTTCTTTCTTCGAATTTTTCATAACGACGAAAGTACAATTGTGTACATAAAGTTGGAAATGATTTTTCATCCGATAACAAACGTTTTCGTTCTTTCACGTTAAATCCTTTATCATTGTCGAAGATTCTATGGGATCCTGTCGTCTTGGTTGACCTGACCATAACGTAGTATACGCCATCTAGCGAGACAACCAAGGACAAGCTGTCCTCTCTCTCTCTCAAAGGATCACCACCCTTGGTCAATATCCTTTTACAATCGAATTTTACGAGATCGAGTCAAACTAATATTCTTTTCTCGATCTTTTAACAATAAATCATACGTATCATTTATAATTAATTAACATTTAATGTTATTAATAACAACTATAATAATTCCTATCAAAAAAAGAAATAAGAAAAAAAGAAAAATAAATAGAAAATCTAAGTTTTTTAATGCAATCTAAGTACGGGAGTACAAATTTTTTCTTGAGGTGGAAGGGAAAATTGTCTTCTTTTCTTTTTCTTTCTTTTTCTTTTCTTTTCTTTTTTTTTTTTTTTTATGAAATCGGTGGATCGTTTTCGATCGCAGGAGAACGATTTCAGATAAAACTGACGTAAGCCAGTGCTGACGTGCTCGGGGGAAAAATAAAAAAAAAAGAAAAAGTAATACATACCTACTTGGTTACTTGGATTACCTACCATTTCTCTCCGTCCTTTTTCAATCCCACTTGAAACTTGACATACCTCTATCTACCGATAGCAGAACGACTCCGGGGATCTTAGACGTATGACGTGGGAGTAATTGCGACACGTTGAACACGACAACGAGCGAGCACCGCACGACCTTGCGCTCATCTTCCCTCTAAGGCGCAACTACTGGGACCGAGAACGACGAACGAGAAGAAATAGAAGCCTTTGTGCCTACGATCAATTACGATATATATATATATATATAAATTTGTATGTGTATATATATTATATATATAGATATATCCAGGTTTGCTGTTATTTTCCTTGCCTAACAAAGTATATTAAAAAATTGGACGATTAATGCTATTTACGAATTCCAAGATTTTTCATTCATCCAATTAATATATTCTTACCTTTCTTAACACTATCATCATCTTAATACTTTCACCATCTGAAAAAACATCTGATAATACGAAGTTATTAATAATCAGAGATACAAACAGGATGTATTTTATTAAATTTTATACGACAAAAAATATTAATATTAAATCGATATTATTTTCATATATTATCTGTATTTAATAAAATAAATTCTCTAATCTTTTTAAGTTTAAAAAGTTGCCTTGATTTTTAATCCAAAGAGGGATTAAAAATATATACATATATATATATATATATATATATATATATATATAGTATTATATAAAGATGCAGGTTGTTAGAAACGTAACAAGATGATGAGTGGAATGGGTGAAGGAGGGGTGGAGGGAAGGAGGCTCTTCAAAGGCGGTGACGAAACACATAACGCGACGATGGCTCGCGCAGAAGCGCGAAGAAGCATCTCTTGTATCACTGGATGATCTTGAACTAACACCTTTCAGGGCATATTCAGCCATTTATTACGGACATGAGGTGTTCCAATAATTGCGCAAACGCGACGAGATTGCCTGCATACGTAAGTCATCGGTAATCGTTGCCGAAGAGTCTCCTTCTATTTCTATCTTTCTCTCTCTCTCTCTCTCTCTCTCTCTCTTTTCAACACGAGGATAAAATCTACGCTACGTGCCATACCAACCTACGACGCTTTTTTTTACTTATACTTCTACTTCTATTTCTGTATCTCTGGCAAACAAGTAAGAAGAGAGAAAAAAGAAAAAATAAAAAAAGATATAAAAAGAAAAAAGGAAAAAGAATGGCAAAGGAGAGACGGAAAAAGAATATATGTTGCTTGACTCTTCGATGTACTTGTCATTTCCAGCCGATGGATAGCACGGTCGTGCCCATTATGGTTAACGCGACTATAAATTATTGGAATGAGTATATCACGCCGGGCGCATCGGTTCTAGTCAAGAGGAAGAGAGAGACAGACAGAGAGAGGGAGAGAGAGAGAGAGAGAGAGAGAAAAAGAGATAAGATCGATAGCCAGAGCGAATAGATCGAGAAAAATCATTGAAGATGCTACGAAGATTCCATCGATGGATCTCCGAGGCGTAAAGCATTATTTCCATGCATCGTGAAAATCTTTCAGGAGAGAAAGAGAGAAAAAGAGAAAGAGAGAAAGAGAAAAAGAGAGAATGAGAGAGAGAGAGAGAGAGAGACGGATAGATAAAAGGAAACTCAGAGTTTCGCAAATTGGTACTGCCGAAGATCTTATCTACCAACACGAACGACCTTATCTCGATCGAAGGCGCGTTCGCGAGTTCACGATGCTTTCCTCGATCTCTTCTTCTTCTTCTCTTTCTTCTTCTTCTTCTTCTTCTTCTTCTTCTTCTTTCTCTTTATTCGGACAGTAAGATGAAGGAAAATAAAAAAAAAAATTAAAAGGCAAAAGTATTGAAAAAAAGAGATTACC